ATATATATATATATATATATATATATATATATATATATATATATATATATATATATATATATATATATATAGGAACGCGACGATTGTGTTATGAGGGTCGTGTTATGACGCATCGTCGCGGGGCACGCGAAATTTCACGGTCTCGTTACGACCGACCCGTAATGATTTAATTAACGATCGACTGGCGAAACAGAAGGGATAGGCGGAGGGATGATCAAGCGTGGGGAAAGCGAACAAAAACGCTAAAGATCGATTCGAGATGTTCGATCGTGCGTGATAATAAGTGTCGAGTGTGTAATCGTTTGGATTTGAATATTTTCCGGTGAATCAGCGGTTTTGGATTATTAATTCGTGCTCGTCGTGTTAAGTACACGGGACACTTTCTTATGTAAAAATGACATTAAACGATAATAAAGAGATGTTAGATTAGATTTAACGCCGTTGTCGTCGGGGGAGGGGAGGGGGGGATGGAGGAGGCGGAGGGGTGAGCCGTCGTCTTTTGTCTTTAAAGCGCTGATAACGGTTGACGATTTGTCTTCTTGTATATTTCTATTCAGTAATGAAGAGATAGTCAAACATGGAGCATCGGTTGAATATGGAAATTTTTGCAGATGTAACGAGTGATAATAAAATAACAATAGTTGTGGTGGCGATAGTGATAATTCTTTTCCCCGATGAAAAATTATATAACAAGAAGAAAAATTGTTTTCGATAATGTGTGGGAATTAAGGCATCATCAATATGATATAACTTAATATATATTAGGTAATATTATTTTATTATTTATTCATAATTCTCTCGTTTTTGCGGATCAATAATATTATACTTTATTAAAATCGTATTAAATTCTTTAAGTAAAAATTCATCAAAGGTGTAGTATGTTGAATTCGCATTTCAATTTCAATAATAATCTATTTTCTATCGAAATAGAATGTCTAACATAAATGTATTCCTGGAAAAGGTGAACACACCTACAATGAATTCTAAAATATATTTCACTTCACTTTACGCTTGAAATTGCACAATTCCTTCCATAGCATCGTCGTATATTGGCACATACGTTCGAAATTCTTGCGCAATGACAGTTTGCAGATTTTCCGCTCGCCACGCGCGTAGGTGTCGATTGCATTCGCGAAATGTTGAGTAGACATCGCAAAGGAACGCTTCGATCATCGACGAACTTGGTTTTATCGTTGAATTTTTGTCCGCGTGTTTCTCGTTGCGAATAAGTTTCGCGCCACTGCCGCCATTTGCATAATGGCGTCCGCGCAAAATCACTGTGACGACACCGCCGTCGTATGCAAATCTTAATACCCGTTTAACGTTTGAATTATGGCCGATTAAATGGCAGATCGACCCAGATCCTTGTGAAAAAAAGTTCAATTCGGTCTCCTCGTCGATGGATATTGCGAAACTTGTATCGCCGAATTCTGTTGGAATTTACCTCGGAATGGACTCGTTTGGACAGTTTGGTTAGGTTCATCGTGTTGAGAAATGGGCGATTCACGGAACGAATTGTGGACATCGAACGATACGATTTCATAAAGGTAGCTCAAAATGAATTTTACGAAGATATTTAAATCTTTCGCATAGAGAGATTAGAATTCTGGCAATACGAAGTCCATCGAATTACAGAGAAGAATGATTTTATGGTATGGCGTGTAACGTTACACATTCAACGAATTTTAGAATTAAAATTTTGAGGTTAGTCCTGTATTTGATTTATATTTAATTATATTTTAATAATTAGAGAAATGGATGATTCTTATAAATAGAATATTAAGAAATTTTAGAATGACTAGGATATTTAGGAGGTTAGTTTCCATATTTGGTTATGTTTTTAAAGAACGTCATGTGTCAATGTCGATATAATGAAATTTCTAATATTCAAGGATTTAATATAAGAACATTATTTTTACAAATGTAATTCTTTCTACAATATATCGTCATATATTTCTATTATATATTTTTTCTCTGTTATTTTAGTGCAAAAAGAATATATCTTTTGTTATATCACAATAAACGAAGTTGGACAATCGTTCTATGCAAATTAATGACTACACAACTACTAGATGCCGTTATTACACAATGTTGAATATTTAACATAGACTTCATTTGTATCAAACTACGTATACTTGAACGAAGTTTATTTTAATCTGAAGATTTCAAGATTCATAGTTAGATGTATAGATTTATCGGGAGTTTCTTTCCAGAAATACAATAATTTATAGCTTTATGTGAAATCGACAAAATTTTACAGGATTTGTATTATCTATAACGTAGTTGGTTTTACGAATGTACAAACTCTTCATCACGATTGCGATAAAACGCATCATATGCGTATCGCGATGTGTTTTTTTCGGATCGTTCAGCAATAATTCGTGGGCATCATATTATTCCACCGTTTGCAGTTCAGCTTTGATATCGGATCGCATCGGTGCTTGCGTGTCATCGGTTCTGATTCAAATATATTTTTATGAAATTGAGTAACGAGCCGAGTAAACCGAAGTTGAATTTTTTATTTCGAATAAAATATGTAACACCGTTTTGGTTTTCCGTCCTATCTTCCGTATAAATCGGCTAAATAATCTATCGTCGAATGTCACTTTCGCAAAATTATCGTCCAACATTTTATCGAACTTCCATTTTAAAAGATAGTAAAACAGTGGAGGGGGACACGTCGATCGATGTGTTTTAGGTAGCGAGAAATTTTATTTAATCGTTACGTAGACAAAGAAACTTGTTTACGATCGAACTGGTCTGTCGACAGATTTACCAAGTCATCGTGTGGCTCTTTCTGAACACGAGCCTCGAGTCCAACTGTTTTGACACTCGTTCGTCTCGTAGCCGGCCTCTGCTCCTCTCGTCGGCCTTTCTTCTTCTCCGGCCTCCGAATTCCATGCCGAGTTATATCAGAATATCTATGGACTCGTCTGGACCACTTTTCGCTTAATCGTCTTCTACTCTTCGTCTGGTACCGCCGCTACCTAGCGAACATCTGTCCGTAATGCCATGTTGCTCTTTTAACTGAATATCGTTGTTTGGACGTTTAGAAGATAATAATTGATGATTAAATAGATAAAAACTTGGAAAATACAACGGTTTAATACTCAGGTATTTTTTTTTACTTCAGATGATATCTTTTTTTTTATTTATATTGTTCAATTTTTTATTTTCGAGGTTAAGAAATTTTTGAATTTACATTTATTACTAACATTTTAAGCTTATAATTATATATATATATCATGAAAAAATTGAAATTAGAAGTCAAAGATTTTGGATGGTATAAAAATGTTACGATGAAAAAGATACAAGGATCTCTTATTTGATGTAAATTTTTATATATGAATTAAACGCGATCAAATATAAGAATCTCTGATATATCGTTCAAACGAATCATTCATATCTGAGAAAAATAATTTTATCGTGCTATTTATATCGTTCCATTCTTAATTTTTATTTTATTATTAAACTTATTATATTTTTCCGTCTCGTTATTGTTTTTAAGATTCGATCTCTATCGCAGTTTAATATATCGTTTATATATATCGTTTTAGCGATTGGAAACAGTAAAAGGAATTTTGAAGTTTAAGGATAATCTAGAAGAGAATCTTCCTACACGAAAAGCGATACGACAAGCCGGAGGATGTTCCGCGATTGCAGTGACGCACGCAAACGTACAAAGGTCGCCTCGTAAATAGTTTAATCTCCGAGCGATCAAGCTGGCGTCTGATTAAAACTGTCTCGCCTCTGTTAATCATTATCTCTCCCGTTCGAAAGTACAAAGATGCGTTTTGTCTTCGTCGTGAATTTTTGTATTCCTTTAAAAATTTAACGAGCCTGGAACAGTTCGTCCAGTGTTCCATTTTGTGTATCGGTATCCAATCACGATTATCGAAGAGAAGAAAAAACTCATTATGCTAATCATCGAAAGACGGGAGAAGAATGTTTATGTTATTACATAATTATCAAAATTGATGATTTCAAACTTTTGGAAAAAATATTCGAAAATTTCCAGACTCGTGACACTTGCATAATTTAATTTCAAATTCAACATTCATTCATATCCAGTTCTTCAAAGTTGTGTTCACGTTTTTTGGAAAAATAATTCAAAGTTTCAATTCATTATTATAGGTACATTATTCGACTTATTTCATTTATTTCATTTCTCAATATTTCTTTTCTATTTTCTCTCCTCTTACATTTTTTTTATGACTCATAAATTCATAATTTCTTTTTATAGAGTTCCATTCTATAATTGTTTATATAAGATATCTTATATATATATATATATACAACAAGATAAAAATAAAAGAAAAAAGAAATAAGGAAAAATGCTAGTAATAAATGAGCGAGGTCCGAAGGTGTCGATGGCGGGATCGAGGTTACCAAGATGACCAACAAATGTCCATAGGAGGAGAACGGACACAGGCGGAGGTGCAGCGGCGTGTACATAGTTGGAAGGCGAGGCAGGCGCACAGTAGTCATTCCCGTGGCACGTCGTGACGAGTCTCGCGGAGTCTCTCAGACTGCTATCTTTCTGACATTGAGGCGCCGGTATCTGTGCCACCAAGTCTCAGCGTACAACCTGCTGCGACCGAGATATGCCTCTCCCGACCGGCACAACTTTGCGCCGTTTTGACGTGCGCCAGATAACTAACGTCCCCTCTCTTTCTCTCTTCCTCTTCTTCTTCTTACTTGCCCTCTGACATGGTCGAAAGCGTGGCCCTGCAAGTGTATCTCGGAATCGCTCTTTCGAACTCGAGCCATAAGAATATCGCAAAGATTCTCTATTTTCTCTGGATATCTGTCTGGATATGGGAACTTCCTAGAATGATTAGGATTAACTCTCAGTTAGATAGATAGATCAGTCGTTGAACAGCAAGGATGCATCGTATCGTATGAAGAGATCACGACAGAATGTAATATTTTTCAATTGATTTCACTCTCAATAGAAGAGAGATCCGTCCAATAAGTTAACTTTCACTCTATCCAGGAATGGACATCTTTCACCAACTTTACCCTAACCACCTTCATCATTCCCAATCTCAAACCCAGCGACTCGCGATACGAATTTGCCAACGAATTCAACTCCATCCTCGCCTCCGACGATTCATTCATCGTCGTCGTTATCCACGATTTTCTGGAGTTCGCGTGGGGCCAGCCTCGCCGGGGCAAAGAAGCCAGAGTGCGCGCAGGTATAAAGCGATGCGCTAGCAGTCGTTTGACGACGGCTATGAATAATTCATGGACGGCGTTTCCTCATACAGCTCGAATGCTCTTCTGAGAACGTGGCAGGACACAGGAAAGCGTCGATAACGATCTCTCCCTAGCTCTCCTCCCTCCCTCTCTCTCTCTTTCACACACACACACATTCATTCCCTCCCACCCGTTTCTCTCTTATAAAGATCCCTGTCCTCGTCACACGTGGTACGTTCATCTCCCTTCTATCCACGTGACTCATGGTATCGAGCACGGCGGATGGCTCGTCACGATGCGTCAGTGCGTCAGATAAAGTCACCGTACGGTCCGCCGTATCCTCGTCATTCTCATTGTGTCAGGCCTCGCGCGGTGACACGTTCGGTGTGTGTCCTACATCGGCTGCTCAATTCTTTTTCCTCCTCTCCGCCCTCTCTCTCTCTCTCTCCCTCTCTCNC